CTTGCAGGCGGCTATGGTAAGGGGCGTGACATTTCCCGACCAGGCGCCAAGTGCTGCCAATCACAACACACACTGACCCAGCTAACCAATCACAGCACATTCCGTATTTCAGAAGGCGGGCCTTCATTTGATACAGGAACTATTGGAGCCGTTCATGCCAGACTGGGGAGAGAGGTGTTGTAATAATGTAAAATATGTGAAAAATAATGTGTATTTCGACAAACCTAGTATGAGAGCCTGTTCTAGTACACACCCAAAACAAAATCAAGACTTTGTAAAAGAGCATAATAGGACCCCTTTAAGACTAAATCTAACCCTAGAATCTGAATGGTGTATTGCAGTGTGATCCAGGAACATGATCTACTTGGTGAAATCACAGTAAGCATAATGATAATGTATGTATTTGCAGAACCTAAAGTGAACAGTGTGGATGACAGTGGAAGAAATGTGTCTGCTGGAAACTCTACAAACACAGCAGGATCTGCTCCATCTGCAGTGGGTCCAACTCTGGGTGGACTATTTGCTGGGGGATTTCCTGTACTCAAACCAGTCGGACAAAGAGACAAGCAGCCACATCACAACCCGGGTATTGAAGTCAGACCTGTTTATTCTCATGCTTTGTATTTTTTCAGTGCTGGACAAATTTTGAATGACTTTTTGATATGGCTTGTTTGTGTTTCAGTGTCTCGCTCCGGCTCTACCGCCAGCCTGAAGCAGCCTCTCTGGAACCCTCCATCACAGGGAGACGGTTTCAGAGGATCCACCCCCTCCACCTCCTCCATCAGTCCCTCCATCCTCTCTCCCTGATAGGTCATTTGGGGTCTTCTACCCTCCACCACCTCCATCCTCACTCTCTAACAGATCATCTGGAGTCTTCTTCCCTCCGCCCCCTTCTCCGGGGCCATTAGAAATGAAGGACAGTTCTTTAGGGCCTCCTCCCCCACCTCCTCCTCCTCTTCCTGCTTCGTTTGCATGCAGTCACCCCTCCTCAGCACCGCCTCCGCTACCTCAGAAAGTACCTCCCATGCCTTCACCCACATACAGGCCCAGCGTACCACCTTTGCCACCGTCTTACCCCTGTACCGCCCCCAGTAGACGACCTCCTGCAGTGCCACGTTTTGCAGGTATATGACTAATGACCTTAGTTATATATATATTATATATTAAAATATTCCTGTGATGGCAAAGCTGATTTTTCAGCAGCCATTACTCCAGTCTTCAGTATCACATGATCCTTCAGAAATAATTCTAATATGCTGACTTACTGCTGCAAGAAATATTATTATTAATGTTGAAGACAGTTGTGCTGCTTAATATTTATGTGGAAATGTGTTCTTTTAATAAGGATTTACTGATGAATAGAAAGTTTAAAAGAACAGCATTTACTTAAATAGAAATATTTGTAACATTATAAATGTCTTTACTGTCACTTCTGATCAATTTAATGCATCCTTGCTGAATAATTTTGATTAAAGTGCAATTACTATACAATAATGCAAGATTCCATCTGCTAACATGAGTTAACTACATCAGTTAAAATTAACTAACATTGAAAAATACTTCAAAAGCATTGATTAATCTTAGTTAATATTAACTAATGGGACTTTATAAGTGTTATAAAACACTTTTGAATGGTAGTGTGTTTGGAAATATTATGTATAAATATTAGAAGAAAAACTAAAATGAAAACGTAACTGAGATGAACTAGTCAGTCATTTATTACGATTTTTGGATTGACAGGTGCTCCACGGATGGCTCCACCCCCTGCTCCCCCTGCTCGGTCTCCTAACACTGAACTCTCCAGTAGGATCCCACCCCCTCCTCCTCTCCCACTGTCAGCTCCGCCCAGCTCAGTACGCAACGGACACCTGCACAGCTTAGGTGAGACTGCAGGCTGTCATTGATGATGAAGCTAAAGGTCTAAATGGGCTATAATTACCATCTGATGAACAGCAACAAGCAGTTACACTAGAAATGAACTACTGTGACAATATGATTTTCTGCATGTGTATTTGTATGTTTGTGATTGCGCATATGCAAGCTCTTTAATTTAACATAGCATTTGTTTTCCTTTCTTTGTCTGCTTTCCAGATGACTTTGAATCGAAGTTTCACTTCCATCCTATTGAGGACTTCCCCCCTCCTGAAGAGTTCAGGCCCTTCCCACGTACCTACCCCAGCAAGGAGAACAGAGGTACAACAACCTCTTTGTATGTGAGAGTGTATGCGAGGAAAGGTGAAGTTTCTGTTCAATGACAGTGCTCACAATGTTGCCTCTGTTCATTTAGACAGGCTTGAGGCAGATGATCTTATTTGTTTTATTTATTTATTTTTAAAAATATTTATACAATTGTAATATTGCCTTTGCTTTATACACAACTACATATATAAAGTAGCCTAAAATTAGAGTGGCAAAAAAGCAGGTGATAATAGGATGAGAGAAGTTTTCATAACAATTCCTGAATATATTTAGTATCAATATATCATAGTGTTTGATTTGAAAGCAAAAAATCTGCATATTAACAGCTTTTTAAGTATATAGTATTATGATGCTCACACAATGATGAACTGAAAATGATTTTTTTTTAAAGAAATGAATAGAATAATTTTTAATACATTTTTTATATTTTGTTTATTTATAATTAATATAATTATATATATTTTTTTAATAATTTTTCAAAATGATTAATCTCACATTAAATTTATCAAAATTGACTGTAAATATTTGTTACAAAATATTTCTATTTCAAATAAATGCTGTTCCTTTGAAATTCCTATTCATCAAAAAATACAGGTGCATCTCAATAAATTAGAAGAATCGATTTTGCTTGACAATCCTCATAAGGCTGTGGTTCTCTCGGTTGGTTGTGCATCTTTTCTTCTACACTTTTTCCTTCCACTCAACTTTCTGTTAACATGCTTGGATACAGCACTCTGTGAACAGCCAGCTTCTTTGGCAATGAATGTTTGTGGCTTACCCTCCTTGTGAAGGGTGTCAATGATTGTGTTCTGGACAACTGTCAGATCAGCAGTCTTCCCCATGATTGTGTAGCCCAGTGAACCAAACTGAGAGACCATTTTGAAGGCTCAGGAAACCTTTGCAGGTGTTTTGAGTTGATTAGCTGATTGGCATGTCACCATATTCTAATTTGTTGAGATAGTGAATTGGTGGGTTTTTGTTAAATGTGAGCCAAAATCATCACAATTAAAAGAACCAAAGACTTAAACTACTTCAGTCTGTGTGCATTGAATTTATTTAATACACGAGTTTCACAATTTGAGTTGAATTACTGAAATAAATTAACTTTTCCACGACATTCTAATTTATTGAGATGCACCTGTATGTATCATGGGTTCCACAAAATATTAAGCAGCGCAAGTGTTTTCAACAATGATAACAATAAAAAAATGTTTCTAGAGCAGCAAACATTACAATTTAAAATATATTAAAATAGAAAGCAAGTCACGCAGGTACTGGGCTATGCCACAGCGGTTGTCGTCCATACAGGTTTAAAATAATCTGAATATAAGCACTTATTACAATACCATAGTGATTCAGGATGAGACAAAAATTGTAATTGTAATAATATTTCACATTATTTCTGTTTTTACTGTATTTTTGATAAAAAAAAATACAGACTTGGTGAACATTAGAGACTGAAAACATCTTACCAACCGCAAACTTTTGAATGGTGGTGTATACTGTCTACAAGTCTCTGTTTCAATGTAAACAGTTTGTTTCAGGATCCAGTTATTACCAGATCCAGGATGAAACAATTGTGCATACAAAACTGAAAATAAATAGTTTTATCAGTTCCTCAGTTGATTGGTTTCATTTAAAAACAAGGAAACACTAAAACTAATTCTGGAATTACCTGTCTTATTGAAAATGAACTCTTCCTGTTTTGTTTTCACAGTCAACCCACAACCTCCTGCCATGAGGACTCATTTAAGATGAAATGGGACAATATGAAGTTTGGTGCTAACCTTTTGCAGGAAAGGAAAACTTGAAATCGCATCATATGACCCCTTTAAGCAGCATCCTCATCGTCAGTGAAGAACAGCAGACAAATCTGTAGGTCAAACCAACTAACTCAAGCACCACTTTATCAATCACAACTGCATTATCTGTGAAAACATTCTAGTTTGATGTAAAAAAAAAAATAATAGTTTTTTTTTGGTCATCCACATTTCAAGAAAGAGTTTCCCTATTACAGATGCAGCCATGTTAAAACCCCTGATTCTTATAAAAAGTGTTTACCTATCTAATTAATTTTCTTCAGTCAATAATAAGTGTTTTAACATTTAATATGTTTCTGGAACAAATATATTATGCCTATTCAATTTGCTTATCATACCTGACAAGGCTTTTATTAATTATCCTATCAGCTTTTAACATACCCTGAATGGACTAAAAGGGCAAATTATTAGACGACTAACAGAATAAAAATGAGAAAAAAATGGAGATTAAAACATGGCTTAACAAAATATGGCAAAAGGAAAGAGTTAAATCTGTGCATACAGATTAGAGAAGTCTTGCTGTCATTACTGTTTCAAATAAAGGGCATCAGTTTTTGTAAAATGGAAGAAAGTTAACCACTAAGAGTGAAACCGTGTTTTAGGCTTAAGGTGAGCAGAATAAATGTTTGAAATGGATGAAACTATAAATGGAAAAGTAAATGAAGTTACATTTCTAAAACTAACAAGTGAGTTTATTAGAAGGTATTGTCCTGTTTCTGATTCTTGTGGCTGCTGGAGCCCTTTGTTACTAACTCTTCATCTAACTCATCAAATCAAGACTTTCTAATACACCAAAGAAAAAATACTCTTTGTTTTTCCTCATTCTAAGTTTCATTTTTAAATCTATCTGTATTTGAAATCTGTGCCAGTATGAAATGCTGTATTAAAGCTCTGAATCAAGAGGAAGGACACATGTGAGACACTGGGAAACAGTGCCACCCACTGGACATGCTTGCAATTTATTGCTCTGACTGAATAAATCATCATTTAACTCAAATAAACATTACAACATGTTTCTGTGAAAAATAATCAAGTATATAATTATTAGCTATCTTTTCATAAAAGTTTGGTTCAATGAATAAATAAATACAATAAATACCTGTTTTTACAGTACATGCTTTACAAGGCACATACCAGCAAAATACTGCTTAGTCGCTTGGAAACAAGCTCATGATACACATACAGAAACATGTACAGACCTAATCATGCATTTGCAATACCAAACAAATAAATAAGTTTCATATAAACATACTATACATTCATTTAAATAATAATGACTTTTCATTACACAACTCCTAAAACATTCATCTACCAGCTCAGCTGCCATTCAAAACATACTAGCAGCATCAACAAGCAGTACTACAAATAGTACCGTACCCACTGAGTTGAACCTTATAACGTGTGTGTGTGTCTGGAGTGTGAAGGAGGCGATGGAGACAGAAACAGCCAAATCCTCTCAGATCATCTGTTAAATACTTTTGATCTCAGCAGGCTCTCCCTCATATCTCTCAAGCATATAGATGACTAAAAGCCTCAAAACTCAGAAGGTGGTTTGCTTTTTCTGATGAAAAGGTTCCAGTTTAACAGAGTTACTCACTTTCATTTCGTCAAAATGTTCAGGGAGACGGCATAGTGTTTTGAGACATCAGAGGGTGAATCATACTTTGTGGAAAAGTACAACAAATTGTTTTGACGAAATTGAGAAGAACAAGAGCGTGTGGAGGCAGAAGTGTGTGTGTGTGTGTGTGTGTGTGTGTGTGTGTGTGTGTGTGTGTCAGTGTGAATGTGTGACTTTTGTAGGCCTCAGGTCCTGTATTTACAGCCGGTTGAGTCGATGAAACAGGAGTCGGTGCACCTGAGCTGCCCAAAGGTGCTATTTGTACAAAAAGATAAGAGAGAGCCCTTAAACATCCATCATATTGGGTGTTGACATGAAATACTTTTTGGAGGCTGACATGCTGTTTTCCATCTAAAACTATTTTAAAAGGATTTTGTTTTTCTATAATTGATATGCATACTGCTGTTATTACCTCATATTAATTGGGAAATATTTGTACTTTTAATTTTATAGTTACACCCTGGACCATGTAAAATAAATTAGAGAAGGCAAAAGGATTAAGTGTTATAAAAAAAAGATATTATAAAAAGTTATTATAAAATTATTATAAAGAATAAATACATTTAAATAAATAGTTGTTAAACATTAAAATACAAATCATAAAAAAATAAAATAATTAGAATGACATGACCTGATATGCGGTACTCCATGTTAAACTATTTTAAAAGGATTTAGCTTTTCTATAATTGACATGCATACTGCTGTTATTAAATATTATAATATATCATATTAATTGAGAAATATTTGTACTTTTAATTTTTTTATAGTTACACCCAGAGCCATGTAAAAAAAATAGTGAAGGCAAAAAGTTATTTTTTTTTTAATATTTCAATTCAATATAATCACATATTAAAATAATAATAATTAAATATAAAATAATTAAACAATAATAATAATAAAGTTCAGCTTCACATTTCTGAAAAGTCTACCCAAATTCAACCATTTTAAATATGCACATGAATATATGTGTGTATGTATGTATGTATGTGTGTGTGTGTGTGTGTGTGTGTGTGTGTGTGTGTGTGCGCTTGTGGTGTGGTGTGGTGTGCATACCCGGGCAGATATGATTTGCAGGTCTGGTAGCCAAAGTCTTTCCCGTCACACTCCTCCACACCCTCATTACGATATCCATCGCCACAGTATGCCTTTTTACAGCCTACACACAGAGACAGAGATAAAGAACAGGAAAGAGACAGAGGTGGAGTGAGTGAAGAGTGAAGAGAAAGAGGATTGATAAGACTAATGAATGACCAACAGACTACTCCAAGAAAATGTGAGTGCTGATTTTCTGTATAAATCTAAATAATCCTCAAAACAAGATACATTTACCACTAATTAATTTTATGTTTAGGCATTTTCATATATTCAGAATGTGGTTGTCTCTATGATCATGTGACTCACCTACGCAGTCATCCGTAACAACCTTGTTTCCGTCGTCGCATTCTTCCCCGTTGAGTTCCTGCACCTCTCCATCACCGCAGACTCCATTCCCATCCCTCATCCTCTCAGTCGCCTGGAGCGGCATCAGCTAAAATACAAATAGCATGCTCCTGTTCCCAAAATACTAGTATGGCTGCATGTTTCATAGCAGTGTATTCAAAATGACCCTGTACCTGAATGGGCTTCCATCCATTTTCATCCCTGAAGTAAAGAGACCTCTGATCCTTCCTGAAGGCAAGTGCGTTATCTTCCTGGAGACCTTTTAGCTCTTCCTCACTGCCCACAACGAATATCTGACCAGGAAACACAAACTGATCAAGAAGCAGATATAAACACTGAACGAACAGGCTTATTGATTCCATTATAAACACGCAAATTAAATTCGATCTTGTGTCAAATTTGGCTTGTTGAGTGGGGACAATGTGTGTACATCAGGTTACCCAGAATGATAATAAAACCCAAAATCCGCACAATGAAAACAGCTCAATTAAGGGCCTAAATAATATGTTAGCAGGCAGTGGAATGGGGGAAGGTCTCTTTATTATTTTACAATAAATTATTTTACAGTTACTATTTATCATTTACCTTTTAGCTAACTTGTATTTAGTTGTGATTCATTCTGGTATATAGTGCAAATAGATCAAATCAAGTTTCTTACTGAATATCTTTCACCTCACATTACAGAAGTAACATTCACATTAGAAGTAAATGGGAAGTCCTCAGCATAGAGAGTGTGTGTCTTACCGCTGGAACTTTGTCATATTTGTTACGGTGTTGTAACGGGGCACTGGCTGGACTGAGAGAAGGGAAGCTGCAGTCGCAGACTCCAGGAGGACCGGGCAATCCCTTCTCACCTTTTTCTCCAACTACAAACAGCCCTGATCATCATGAGATACCAACAAACAAAAGCATTTAGATTTCATTAGACATCGCTAGAACAGCTAGAACAGAAATGCACTGATTTACTTATCAAAAACTCTGCTTAAAAGACCAGAACGTTCAAAACCTTACTTTGGATCTGCAGACATCCTAATAGGTGATTCAGAAAAAAATTGTGTGCATATATGGTATCTCACCTGATGCAGGTACCCCAGGAGGTCCTGGGTGGCCCCTGGGTCCAGGTGGACCAGTGGGACCCACTGGCCCTGGAAAACCTCTGTCTCCATCAGACCCCTACGCCAGAATGCATAAATAATTGAGCTAAACCCATTGACTCATCTACACCAACAAAACCAATAAAACCTCATCAATATTTACATATATAAAGTTTATATACATATACAGTACGTTTAAAAGTTTATGCTCTTATGCTCACCAAGGCTGCATTTATTTGATCAAAAATGCAGTAATAGTAATATTGTGTAATATTTAGTTGCAGGTGCTGAAATGACATTCAAGTCCGAGGCCTGTGCAGTGATCTAAGGAACCTTAAATGTGTATGTGTCACAGCACTGAGCTGATTGATAGTAGGAATCTTTGCTGGGTACAGCCTACGGTAACAGTCCTACTATTTCCCAGCAGTTAGTTAAGACATTCCCAGGAAGTGCCTATCCGAATAAAACCTCATCAATATTTACATATATAAAGTTTATATACATATACAGTACGTTTAAAAGTTTATGCTCTTATGCTCACCAAGGCTGCATTTATTTGATCAAAAATGCAGTAATAGTAATATTGTGTAATATTATTATAAAGGTATTTAAAATATTTTTAAAAGTATTTTTCCTGTGAAGGCAAAGCTGAATTTTCAGCAGTCATTACTCCAGTCTTCAGTGTCACATGATTCTTCAGAAACCATTATAATATGCTGATTTAGTGCTCAAAAAGCATTTCTTGTAATTAATATAAAATAGTTGTGCTGCTTACAATTTTTGTGTAAACTGTTATATTTTTATTCAGGATTTTTTTTGAATTGGCAATTGAAATAAAAATATTTTGTAACAATAATAAATGTCCTTAAAGTCACTTTTGATCAATTTAAGCCATCTTTGCTGAATGAAAGTATTAAAAAAAATTACTGACCCCAAACTTTTACACAGTTGTGTGTGTATATATATATATATATATACCTATCCGCAGTGTAATACAAGAGTTTGGAAACATGAGCGGCAGGGCTGGACCCAACATCAGAGGCCCTGCTGGTCCAAATCCAGCTACCAGCACGGTGAGCTTTTCAGCTCATCAGGTTACTTACGAAATGGCACACACACACACACACTCAGCCACAGACTGACCCCCTGACTGGGCGGGACAGGTTAACCGTGCGAGTATGCAGGTTTTAAATATGCCCGCAGCTTCTTCCGCCAATAATCCACTCCCTTATCATCACTCAGAGACTCAAGGTCTCAGTATCAGCACAGACTGGAGCTCTGATGTAGAGCAGAATGCTGTGTGTCCTCACCTGTTTGCCTCTCTTGCCTGGTCGTCCTGTAGGGCCACGTTTCCCTGGGACGCCAGACTCACCCTTGGGTCCCATTTCACCCTGGGGGAGTGACGAAGAGGGGGAGGTTCAGAGAGAAGGAGCGAGTCAGATCAGTGACATCCAAAACATATTAGCGTTACATGCATAAGATTGATTTTAATGGTTAAAATGTCACATCATACCTTCTGTCCCAGCATCCCAGGCAGTCCATTTGCTCCCTAAAGTGAGCAGACCAGATACACAAGTGAATATGACTGAGTGCCTATACATTTCAATTCTACATATTCAATTCATTCATTTTAAGCATGTTGCTACTGAGTTACTAGGGTTTTCTGTGTAGGTGGTTGATAGCGTGTTCCAAGAATTTTAGCATGTTGCGGTTTTTCTAGGGGAAACACCATTAATAAGGAACCCTAATGTCTAGAAACTGATTTTTAGTCTCTAACCTTGTCTCCTTTTGGACCTGCAGGTCCAGAATCCCCCCGTGCTCCCTGAAACCATAACAATATGTACAGAGAGTTATGTAATATAAAGTTCAGTCCCATAACTCTACAAAGGGAAAGAAACATTTAGGCTGATTTTAACAAACGTACAGTACCTTCTCACCCTTATTGCCTGGAAAGCCCTAATTGGACAGAGAAGGCAAGTATTATTTACCTTTTCTCATTAAGAGAAGACATAAAATGTTATTTATGAAATAAAAATCAAGGCACAACATTACTTCGACTCCATTACTTCAGTTGTACACCAGTTACACCTGGAGAATGTGACTCACTTTAGGTCCAGGTGATCCCCTCATTCCTGGCATTCCCATCAGCCCTGGGTCTCCTTTCTCGCCCTGCCAATGAGGTCATATATAAACAGTCAAATAGGCTCTAATGAGCTATTTTTAGATCCATTTGGGTCCATTTCTCTTGATGGAAGAGGCATCAGTCAAGGGGGACACTTGATCTCAGACTTGGCGTTTACTTTGATATAGGAACAATAATGATGAAGACCAGACACTTGATACCATGATAACAGATGTATTGTCAGCTTAAAGGGATAGTTCACCCAAAAATGAAAATTCTGTCATTAAGTAAAATAAATATTAATGATGTCCTCACTACTTTTCTGAGCCTTGAATGTAGTAATGACATTGCTGTCTATGCAGAGACAGAAAGATCTCGGATTTCATCCAAATATCTTAATTTGTGTTCTGAAGATGAACGAAGGTCTTACGGGTTTGGAACGACATGAGGGTGAGTAATTATGACAGAATTTCATTTTTGGGTGAACTATCCCTTTAATTATGTTTGTGCAGTATGTGGCGAGACTACATGGGTCAGATGGTGTGCGGAGGTAAAACTCACCCACCTTAGGTCCCTCTGGGCCGGGCAGCCCTGAAGAACCTGGTTTCCCAGGCAGACCCGGACGCCCAGTACGACCCTACAAAAACAAAGATATTTTGCTTTTATACACCCACCTCAAACACAACCCACCAGATCTGGCAGTGCAGCTGAAGTGCTGAGTGTACAGAGCAGCTTTAATCAAAGACAAAGCACCTACTCAGCATCCCTGCCTCTCAGCAGTCCTCTTCATTCCTTTAATACATCAGCCTATCTAATCCTTCTGCTTCTTTTTGAGTGTGTTCCAGGTTCTTTACTCAAACACTCTCCTTCTTTTGCTTTTAACACTAGAATCTATTTCTAGTCCCTACTGTATCTGTACTTTAAAATAACTTTATTTCTGGCCTTGTTTTCTAACAACAACATCTAAGCATTCTTAAATAT